TGGGTGAGTACTGTAGGCTGTACTGTAGATTGTACTGTAGCTATTTTGGGGATGTAGAGAGACGCTGTTCCCCTCCTGGGTCTACCCGCAGTGGGTGAGTACTGTAGACTGTACTGTAGACTGTACTGTAGACTGTACTGTAGCTATGTGGGGGATGTAGAGAGACGCTGTTTCCCTCCTGGGTCTACCCGTTGTGGGTGAGTACTGTAGGCTGTACTGTAGATTGTACTGTAGCTATGTGGGGGATGTAGAGAGACGCTTTTCCCCTCCTGGGTCTACCCGCTGTGGGTGAGTACTGTAGACTGTACTGTAGCTATGTGGGGGATGTAGAGAGACGTTGGTCCCCCCCTTTCGCCCAGTATGGCATATAGGGTTTCCTCTTTCCCCCAGTAAGGCATATAGGGTTGCCTATTTCGCCAAGTATGGCATATAGGGTTTCCTCTTTCGCCCAGTAAGGCATATAGGGTTTCCTCTTTCGCCCAGTAAGGCTATAGGGTTTCCTCTTTCGCCCAGTATGGCATATAGGGTTTCCTCTTTCATCCAGTATGGCATATAGGGTTTCCTCTTTCCCCCAGTATGGCATATAGGGTTTCCTCTTTCGCCCAGTATGGCATATAGGCTTTCCTCTTTCCCCCCAGTATGGCATATAGGGTTTCCTCTTTCGCCCATTATGGCATATAGGGTTTCCTCTTTCCCCCAGTATGGCATATAGGGTTTCCTCTTTCATCCAGTATGGCATATAGGGTTTCCTCTTTCCCCCAGTATGGCATATAGGGTTTCCTCTTTCATCCACTATGGCATATAGGGTTTCCTCTTTCTCCCAGTATGGCATATAGGGTTTCCTCTTTCCCCAGTATGGCATATAGGGTTTCCTCTTTCCCCCAGTATGGCATATAGGGTTTCCTCTTTCCTCCAGTATGGCATATAGGGTTTCCTCTTTCTCCCAGTATGGCATATAGGGTTTCCTCTTTCCTCCAGTATGGCATATAGGGTTTCCTCATCCTCCCAGTATGGCATATAGGGTTTCCTATTTCCCCCAGTATGGCATATAGGGTTTCCTTATTCACCCAGTATGGCATATAGGGTTTCCTCATTCACCCAGTATGGCATATAGGGTTTCCTCGTTTACTCACCATGGCATATAGGGTTTCCTCATCCTCCCAGTATGGCATATAGAGTTTCCCCATTCACCCAGTATGGCATATGGGGTTTCCTTTTCACTCAGTATGGCGTACAGGGTTCATCTTTCACCCAGTATGGTATATAGCGTTTCCTCACTCACCAAGTATGGCATATAGGGTTTCCGCATTCACCCAGTATGGCATATAGGGTTTCTTCTTTCATCCATTATGGCATATATGGTTTCCTCTTTCACCCAGTATGGCATATAGGGTTTCCTCTTTCACCCAGTATGGCATATAGGGTTTCCTCTTTCACCCAGTATGGCATATAGGGTTTCCTCTTTCACCCAGTATGGCATATAGGGTTTCCTCATTCACCCAGTATGGCATATAGGGTTTCCTTTTTCATCCAGGGTTTCCCAGTATGGCATAAAGGGTTTCCTTCACCCAGTATGGCATATAGGGTTTCATTACAGGGTTTCACCCAGTATGGCATATAGGGTTTCCTCTTTCACCCAGTATGGCATACAGGGTTTCCTTTATTTTATCCTCCCAGTATGGCATATAGGGTTTCCTCTTTCACTCAGTATGGCATATAGGGTTTCCTCATCCTCCCATCCTCCCAGTATGGCATATAGAGTTTCCCCATTCACCCAGTATGGCATACAGGGTTTCCTCATCCTCCCAGTATGGCATATAGAGTTTCCCCATTCACTCAGTATGGCATATAGGGTTTCCTCTTTCACTCCAGTATGGCATACAGGGTTTCCTCATCCTCCCAGTATGGCATATAGGGTTTCCCTCTTTCACCCAGTATGGCATACAGGGTTTCCTCATCATCCTTCCCAGTATGGCATATAGAGTTTCCCCATTCACCCAGTATGGCATATAGGGTTTCCTCATTCACCCAGTATGGCATACAGGGTTTCCCTCATCCTCCCAGTATGGCATATAGGGTTTCCTCTTTCACTCAGTATGGCATATAGGGTTTCCTCATTCACCCAGTATGGCATATAGGGTTTCCTCATCCTCCCAGTATGGCATATAGAGTTTCCTCATTCACCCAGTATGGCATACAGGGTTTCCTCATCCTCCCAGTATGGCATATAGAGTTTCCCCATTCACCCAGTATGGCATACAGGGTTTCCTCATCCTCCCAGTATGCCATATAGAGTTTCCCCATTCACTCAGTATGGCATATAGGGTTTCCTCTTTCACTCAGTATGGCATATGGCATACAGTTTCTCATCCTCCCCCAGTATGGCATACAGGGTTTCCTCATCCTCCCAGTATGGCATATAGAGTTTCCCCATTCACCCAGTATGGCATACAGGGTTTCCTCATCCTCCCAGTATGGCATATAGAGTTTCCCATTCACTCAGTATGGCATATAGGGTTTCTCATCCCTCCCAGTTCATAGGGTTTCCCCATTCACCCAGTATGGCATACAGGGTTTCCCATCATCCTCCCAGTATGGCATATAGAGTTTCCTCATCCTCCCAGTATGGCATATAGGTTTCCCCTTTCACTCAGTATGGCATACAGGGTTTCCCTCATCCTCCCAGTATGGCATATAGGGTTTCCCATTCACTCAGTATGGCATATAGGGTTTCCCATACAGGGTCCTCCCAGTATGGCATATAGGGTTTCCTCACTCCATGTCAGTATGGCATATAGGGTTTCCTCTTTTCACCCAGTATGGCATACAGGGTTTCCTCATCCTCCCAGTATGGCATACAGGGTTTCCTCATCCTCCCAGTATGGCATATAGGAGTTTCCTCTTTCACCCAGTATGGCATATAGGGTTTCCCATTCACCCAGTATGGCATACAGGGTTTCCTGATCCTCCACCCAGTATGGCATACAGGGTTTCATCCTCCCAGTATGGCATATAGAGTTTCCATTCACCCAGTATGGCATACAGGGTTTCCCTCCCAGTATGGCATATAGAGTTTCCCCATTCACTCAGTATGGCATACAGGGTTTCCTCATCCCAGGGCTCCCAGTATGGCATATAGGGTTTCCCTCTTTCACTCAGTATGGCATATAGAGTTTCCCATTCACCCAGTATGGCATACAGGGTTTCCTCATCCTCCCAGTATGGCATATAGAGTTTCCCCATTCACCCAGTATGGCATACAGGGTTTCCTCATCCTCCCAGTATGGCATATAGAGTTTCCCCATTCACTCAGTATGGCATATAGGGTTTCCTCTTTCACTCAGTATGGCATACAGGGTTTCCTCATCCTCCCAGTATGGCATACAGGGTTTCCTCATCCTCCCAGTATGGCATATAGAGTTTCCCCATTCACCCAGTATGGCATACAGGGTTTCCTCATCCTCCCAGTATGGCATATAGAGTTTCCCCATTCACTCAGTATGGCATATAGAGTTTCCCCATTCACCCAGTATGGCATACAGGGTTTCCTCATCCTCCCAGTATGGCATATAGAGTTTCCCCATTCACTCAGTATGGCATATAGGGTTTCCTCTTTCACTCAGTATGGCATACAGGGTTTCCTCATCCTCCCAGTATGGCATATAGGGTTTCCTCTTTCACCCAGTATGGCATACAGGGTTTCCTCATACTCCCAGTATGGCATATAGGGTTTCCTCTTTCACTCAGTATGGCATATAGTTTCCCCATTCACCCAGTATGGCATATAGGGTTTCCTCATCCTCCCAGTATGGCATATAGAGTTTCCCCATTCACCCAGTATGGCATACAGGGTTTCCTCATCCTCCCAGTATGGCATATAGGGTTTCCTCTTTCACTCAGTATGGCATACAGGGTTTCCTCATCCTCCCAGTATGGCATATAGAGTTTCCCCATTCACTCAGTATGGTATATAGGGTTTCCTCTTTCACTCAGTATGGCATACTGCGTTTCCTCATCCTCCCAGTATGGCATATAGGGTTTCCTCTTTCACCCAGTATGGCATACAGGGTTTCCTCATCCTCCCAGTATGGCATATAGGGTTTCCTCTTTCACTCAGTATGGCATACAGGGTTTCCTCATCCTCCCAGTATGGCATACAGGGTTTCCTCATACTCCCAGTATGGCATATAGGGTTTCCTCTTTCACCCAGTATGGCATATAGGGTTTCCTCTTTCACCCAGTATGGCATACAGGGTTTCCTCATCCTCCCAGTATGGCATACAGGGTTTCCTCATCCTCATCCTCCCAGTATGGCATATAGGGTTTCCTCTTTCACCCAGTATGGCATATAGGGTTTCCTCATCCTCCCAGTATGGCATATAGGGTTTCCTCTTTCACCCAGTATGGCATACAGGGTTTCCTCATCCTCCCAGTATGGCATATAGAGTTTCCCCATTCACCCAGTATGGCATACAGGGTTTCCTCATCCTCCCAGTATGGCATATAGGGTTTCCTCTTTCACCCAGTATGGCATATAGGGTTTCCTCATCCTCCCAGTATGGCATATAGGGTTTCCTCTTTCACTCAGTATGGCATACAGGGTTTCCTCATCCTCCCAGTATGGCATATAGGGTTTCCTCTTTCACCCAGTATGGCATACAGGGTTTCCTCATCCTCCCAGTATGGCATATAGAGTTTCCCCATTCACCCAGTATGGCATACAGGGTTTCCTCATCCTCCCAGTATGGCATATAGGGTTTCCCCATTCACTCAGTATGGCATATAGGGTTTCCCCATTCACCCAGTATGGCATACAGGGTTTCCTCATCCTCCCAGTATGGCATATAGGGTTTCCCCATTCACTCAGTATGGCATACAGGGTTTCCTCCCTTCGAAAAACAAGGTTTCCCTATTCACCCAGTGGGGTTTATTCCACTGACTTCCTCACTCTGTATAACCTAAGATCACATGTTTGTTGAGCAATCTTTTCTTGCTTTCAGTTGCAAAACATGCAGGTTTCCTACGTTGAAGGTTTCCGTGATCCCTACATGGCTGACCCGAGTTCTTTCCCTTGGTTCATGGCCACGTGCGTGGTTGAGTTCTCCCTAGAAATCCCCTTCTTTTTCATTGCTGCTTATGCGTATTTCTACGGTAAGTCTAGGTATTTGTTTAACAATGTGGTTGTGTCCCAGTCCTTGCCTCGGACCAGCCATTTAGTTATTGTGTATCATTGCTTTGCATTTGAAAATTAAAGTATTGAGACTGTTAGATAATGTAGCATCTTTCTCAATACAGGGACACGTCTTTCATTGGGTTACAAATATCTTGAAAATGAGCGAGCGAAGATGAAGTCAACGATTTGACACAGAAAAACAGTATTTCCAAATTAGACCCTTCATTATAGATTTTCAAATTTGGGCGAATCAGTAATTATGGATTGTATGTCTGTTGGGTCTTGTGTGATTTGTGTGAAACGTTACATGAATGTTAAGACGTTGAACCTATTTATAGTGAGAACAACTACGGGCTGCAGTACTAACATTCCGGCTTTGTTACGCCATAGATATGTCAAGTGGTGACATAATCAGATGTAGCTACAACAGAAAACGTTAACCTGGGTTCCGGACTCTCAGGGTATTTGTATTCCTACAACAAATGAAAAAAAAACTCACAGAAATAGCCGCCAACAGGCTGGTGTAGTTTACCCTCATTCATCGACTTACTCACTCACTCACGCAGGTGCGCAGCGTTGCCCCTGGATACGGCTACCGTCGCTGATGTACAGCGTCCACACTGCAACGTCAGTCCTCGCTGTCAACTTCACCACGTGGCTGCACGACTTTACTGTGTACAAGGTGCCAGGGCCACGTGACGCTACGGAGAGGATAAGGCTGATCTGCGTGTACGGCTTCTTCTTCGTTGTGTGTGTCCTCAACATCTTCGACACCTGCTTGAGCTCGGCGTACCGCGGAGACAAGATGAAGACGATCTGATGCACTGCCCCAAACACAACAAAGCGATGCTGCGTCCATCGGCAGGATGTGCACAGCGTCGTTTTCCCCAACGCATATGATTCTACAGATATGTCACAGAGTGAAAACATTATGTGTAGTGAGATATCTCACGGAATGTCAGCTTCATGTCCGCTTGATGTATAATGAAACATGTTATGGGATGTCTGCTTGATGTATAATGAGACATGTTACGGGATGTCAGCTTGATGTATAATGAGACATGTTACGGGATGTCCGCTTGATGTATAATGAAACATGTTATGGGATGTCTGCTTGATGTATAATGAGACATGTTACGGGATGTCAGCTTGATGTATAATGAGACATGTTACGGGATGTCTGCTTGATGTATAATGAGACATGTTACGGGATGTCAGCTTGATGGAATGTCTGCTTTTGATGTATAATGAGACATGTTACGGGATGTCAGCTTGATGTATAATGAGACATGTTACGGGATGTCTGCTTGATGTATAATGAGACATGTTACGGATGTCCGCTTGATGTATAATGAGACATGTTACGGGATGTCAGCTTGATGTATAATGAGACATGTTACGGGATGTCAGCTTGATGTATAATGAGACATGTTACGGGATGTCAGCTTCATCCCAGCTTGATGTATAATGAGACATTTTACGGAATGTCTGCTTGATGTATAATGAGACATTTTACGGAATGTCTGCTTGATGTATAATGAGACATGTTACGGGATGTCTGCTTGATGTATAATGAGACATGTTACGGGATGTCAGCTTGATGTATAATGAGACATGTTACGGGATGTCAGCTTGATGTATAATGAGACATGTTACGGAATGTCTGCTTGTATAATGATGTTACGGGATATAATGAGACATGTTACGGGATGTCAGCTTGATGTTTAATGAGACATGTTACGGAATGTCTGCTTGACGTATAATGAGACATGTTACGGAATGTCCGCTTGATGTATAATGAGACATGTTACGGAATGTCAGCTTGATGTATAATGAGACATGTTACGGGATATACAGAGAGCACGTTGTGTATGCCGGGTGTGAGAGCAGCATGTGGCGTACAGACGCAGAGATGATGCGATACAAAATGTAGAATAGGTTGCTTATTTAAGAACATAAAACTTATTTTCAGAAGCGTTGATATATTTCCTATTCAATTTTCTCACCTACAGATGTATTGTGATAGTAAGTGTAATCACTGTATGATAACGTGAATGGCAAGCTTGGCATCGAATGGTAACAGTCAGTTTAAATCCGATCGAATGCTGCGACCATGAGACGGATTGTCAGCTGGTCTTCTGACTGGTGTCTGGGTGGCTATGTGGGTGATATCTAGTTGGACACACATCAGGATATATATTTCCTAAACAAAGAAAGCTTTTTCGGTCACATTGCCAGACTACAATAATGTAGTTTAAGTTCCTTGAACAATATACTTCCCTTTCTACGAGGGTGTGTATACTTCCTCCACAGGAAGTGGGATGCTGTGTGTCAGCGCTTTGTGAAGAACATCAACACATCAGTTTATTATCACTTCCTTACATCCAGCGTGGTTCACGGTGATAAAGACAAAGTGAAAAAGTGGATCAAGGTTGCGCATCAATGAGAGAGTGAGTGTGGATCAAGGTTGCATGTTTAATGGGAGAGTGAGTGTGGAACAATGTGGCACGTTTAATGGGAGAGTGTGGATCAATGTTGCACGTTTAATGGGAGAGTGGATCAATGTTGCACATTTAATGGGAGAGAGCGTGGATCAATGTTGCACATTTCATGGGAGAGTGTGGATCAATGTTACACGTTTAATGGGAGAGAGTGGATCAATGTTGCACATTTAATGGGAGAGTGTGGATCAATGTTGCACATTTAATGGGAGAGGTGAGGTGAGGTGAAATTGGATTTAACGTCGTGCTTGAGAATATTTCGCTCATATGAGGACGTGCGTGCGTGTGTATGTGTATGTGCGGCTGCTTGTACTAGCCCAGACTTAAGCTGGTTTTATGGTGCCAGCCCACTGAGATACCACGCCGCAGTGAAGCATGAATACCCCACTCAGACACATTATACTGACTCCCAGCCGACCAGTCCTTGTTGTACCCATTAATGCCGAGCGCCAAGTACCATATTTTAACGTCTTTTGGTATGACGCGGTTGGGGATCGAACCCGCGACCTTCCGCTCTCCGGGCGGACGCTCTAACCACTACACCATGGAGGCGGTCCATTTAATGGGAGAGTGTGTATCAATGCTGCACGTTTAATGGGAGAGAGCGTGGATCAAGGTTGCACATTTCATGGGAGAGTGAGCGTGGATCAAGGCTGCACATTTCATGGGAGAGAGTGGATCAATGTTGCACATTTAATGGGAGAGTGTGGATCAATGTTGCACGTTTTAATGGGAGCGGTCAAGGTGACATTTAATGGAGAGATAGTGTGGCTCAAGGTTGCATGTTTAATGGGACAGCGTGCATCAAGGTGCGGCACGCTTGTACTAGAGGTTGGGGATCGGATCCGCGACCTTGCACGTTTAATTGGCTCTAACCACTACACCATGGAGGCGGTCCATTTAATGGGAGAGTGTGTATCAATGCTGCACGTTTAATGGGAGAGAGCGTGGATCAAGGTTGCACATTTCATGGGAGAGTGAGCGTGGATCAAGGCTGCACGTTTAATAGGAGAGAGTGGAGTGATCAAGTTTAATGGGAGAGAGTGGCGTGATCAAGGTTGCACGTTTGATGTGAGAGAGCGTGGATCAAGGTTGCATGTTTAATGGGAGAGTGAGCGTGGATCAATGTTGCACGTTTAATGGGAGAGAGAGCGTGGATCAAGGTTGCACATTTCATGGGAGAGTGAGCATGGATCAAGGTTGCACATTTAATGGGAGAGTGAGCATGGATCAAGGTTGCACATTTAATGGGAGAGTGAGCGTGGATCAAGGTGCACATTTCATTGGAGAGTGAGCATGGATCAAGGTTGCACATTTTATGGGAGAGTGAGCTTGGATCAATGTTACACATTTTATGGGAGAGTGAGCTTGGATCAATGTTACACATTTAATGGGAGAGAGAGAGCGTGGATCAAGGTTGCATGTTTAATGGGAGAGAGTGTGGATCAATGTTGCACGTTTAATGGGAGATAGAGCGTGGATCAAGGTTGCATGTTTAATGGGAGAGAGTATGGATCAATGTTGCACGTTTAATGGGAGAGAGCGTGGATCAAGGTTGCACGTTTAATGGGAGAGAGTGTGGATCAATGTTGCACGTTTAATGGGAGAGAGCGTGGATCAAGGTTGCATGTTTAATGGGAGAGAGTGTGGATCAATGTTGCACGTTTAATGGGAGAGAGAGCGTGGATCAAGGTTGCATGTTTAATGGGAGAGTGTGACTGCGTGTGGTGTCAGCGGTGTGTGTCTGTGTGTGTGGTGCCGGTGTGTGTTTGTTGAGTTTGAGCGGTGTGTGCCGAGTTGCCACTGCCTTACCCAGGATAATGGGGTCATACACAGCATGCTGAGTGACTGAACAAGTGTACTATCAACTGGAAGACTACATGTTGTAGTTATGAGTCTCAGTTTACCTCTATGGAGATACCCGTGCTGGGTGTCTAAGGGACACAACTCTGTACAGTAGAGTGTGGCCGACGACCAGGGCCAGCCATCACTGTGAACTCCTCCAGCTGTGTAAGGGACACAACTCTGTACAGTCGAGTGCGGCCGACGACCAGGGCCAGCCATCACTGTGAACTTCACCAGCTGTGTAAGGGACACAACTCTGTACAGTCGAGTGTGGCCGACGACCAGGGCCAGCCATCACTGTGAACTCCTCCAGCTGTGTAAGGGACACAACTCTGTACAGTGGAGTGTGGCCGACGACCAGGGCCAGCCATCACTGTGAACTCCTCCAGCTGTGTAAGGGACACAACTCTGTACAGTGGAGTGTGGCCGACGACCAGGGCCAGCCATCACTGTGAACTCCTCCAGCTGTGTAAGGGACACAACTCTGTACAGTCGAGTGTGGCCGGCTTAACCAGGGCCAGCCATCACTGTGAACTTCACCAGCTGTGTAAGGGACACAACTCTGTACAGTGGAGTGTGGCCGACGACCAGGGCCAGCCATCACTGTGAACTTCACCAGCTGTGTAAGGGACACAACTCTGTACAGTGGAGTGCGGCCGATGACCAGGGCCAGCCATCACTGTGAACTCCTCCAGCTGTGTAAGGGACACAACTCTGTACAGTGGAGTGTGGCCGGCTGACCAGGGCCAGCCATCACTGTGAACTTCACCAGCTGTGTAAGGGACACAACTCTGTACAGTGGAGTGCGGCCGACCACCCACCAGGGCCAGCCATCACTGTGAACTCCTCCAGCTGTGTAAGGGACACAACTCTGTACAGTGGAGTGTGGCCGACTCCACCAGGGCCAGCCATCACTGTGAACTTCACCAGCTGTGTAAGGGACACAACTCTGTACAGTGGAGAGCGGCCGATGACCAGGGCCAGCCATCACTGTGAACTCCTCCAGCTGTGTAAGGGACACAACTCTGTACAGTGGAGTCGCGGCCGACACCAGGGCCAGCCATCACTGTGAACTCCTCCAGCTGTGTAAGGGACACAACTCTGTACAGTGGAGTGCGGCCGACGACCAGGGCCAGCCATCACTGTGAACTTCACCAGCTGTGTAAGGGACACAACTCTGTACAGTGGAGTGCGGCCGATGACCAGGGCCAGCCATCACTGTGAACTCCTCCAGCTGTGTTTAAGGGACACAACTCTGTACAGTGGAGTGCGGCCGACTCCACCAGGGCCAGCCATCACTGTGAACTCCTCCAGCTGTGTAAGGGACACAACTCTGTACAGTGGAGTGGCCGACTCACCAGGGCCAGCCATCACTGTGAACTCCTCCAGCTGTGTAAGGGACACAACTCTGTACAGTAGAGAGCCGCCGACCCACCAGGGCCAGCCATCACTGTGAACTCCTCCAGCTGTGTAAGGGACACAACTCTGTACAGTGGAGTGCGGCCGACGACCAGGGCCAGCCATCACTGTGAACTCCTCCAGCTGTGTAAGGACACAACTCTGTACAGTAGAGAGCGGCCGACTCCACCAGGGCCAGCCATCACTGTGAACTCCTCCAGCTGTTTAAGGGACACAACTCTGTACAGTGGAGTGCGGCCACGCCACCAGGGCCAGCCATCACTGTGAACTCCTCCAGCTGTTTAAGGGACACAACTCTGTACAGTGGAGTGCGGCCGACGACCAGGGCCAGCCATCACTGTGAACTCCTCCAGCTGTGTAAGGGACACAACTCTGTACAGTGGAGTGCGGCCGACGACCAGGGCCAGCCATCACTGTGAACTTCACCAGCTGTGTAAGGGACACAACTCTGTACAGTGGAGTGCGGCCGATGACCAGGGCCAGCCATCACTGTGAACTCCTCCAGCTGTGTAAGGGACACAACTCTGTACAGTGGAGTCGGCGACGACACCAGGGCCAGCCATCACTGTGAACTCCTCCAGCTGTGTAAGGGACACAACTCTGTACAGTGGAGTGCGGCCGGTCGACCACCAGGGCCAGCCATCACTGTGAACTTCACCAGCTGTGTAAGGGACACAACTCTGTACAGTGGAGTGCGGCCGATGACCAGGGCCAGCCATCACTGTGAACTCCTCCAGCTGTGTTTAAGGGACACAACTCTGTACAGTGGAGTGCGGCCGACGACCAGGGCCAGCCATCACTGTGAACTCCTCCAGCTGTGTAAGGGACACAACTCTGTACAGTGGAGTGCGCGGCCGACCCACCAGGGCCAGCCATCACTGTGAACTCCTCCAGCTGTGTAAGGGACACAACTCTGTACAGTAGAGAGCGGCCGACGACCAGGGCCAGCCATCACTGTGAACTCCTCCAGCTGTGTAAGGGACACAACTCTGTACAGTGGAGTGCGGCCGACGACCAGGGCCAGCCATCACTGTGAACTCCTCCAGCTGTGTAAGGGACACAACTCTGTACAGTGGAGTGTGGCCGACGACCAGGGCCAGCCATCACTGTGAACTTCTCCAGCTGTGTAAGGGACACAACTCTGTACAGTAGAGAGCGGCCGACGACCAGGGCCAGCCATCACTGTGAACTCCTCCAGCTGTTTAAGGGACACAACTCTGTACAGTGGAGTGCGGCCGACGTCCAGGGCCAGCCATCACTGTGAACTCCTCCAGCTGTTTAAGGGACACAACTCTGTACAGTGGAGTGCGGCCGACGACCAGGGCCAGCCATCACTGTGAACTCCTCCAGCTGTCACAGACTACTGGACAAACAAATATACAGACAATATGTCTGTGAGACAGTTTTATTTACAAAATACACTATTTCACAGGGAAAATAACATTATGTTAATGATAAAATAATTATACATTTACACTGACTGTACACCAGAGCCCATATCTACATTCTAAATTGGTGCTGGCCACTCTGCCTCCTGCTGTTACCATATGCAACAATTCCTGTCAGTAATGACGGATTTACTTTCACTCAAATCTAAATTGATCATACCAGATAATGTTGCCGAAACAGTTAATATCCTGACATCCCCTTGTTGTCTGTCCCCTTGTTGTCTGAACCCTTGTTGTCTGTCCCCTTGTTGGATTATCAAAATTTATGATGACAATGTCAACATTTCTAAGTGTTCATACTGTAAACTGTGAATGTATGTCAACTTTTGAAATATTTCGATCCTCAGCGAATGCATGTTAGTCAAAAGAAGACGTTGAAACTGCCCAAATGTAGGTCAACTGTAGGGGACCTTGACCTTGACCCAAGCACCATATCCAACTGGGTGCCTGTGTTAACCCATATCCAACTGGGTGCCTGTTTACCCACCCTGCACCAGGAGTGCCTGTGTTAACCCATATCCAACTGGGTGCCTGTTTACCCACCCTGCCCCAGGAGTGCCTGTGTTAACCCATATCCAACAGAGTACCTGTTTACCCACCCTGCCCCAGGAGTGTCAGTGTTAACCCATATCCAACTGGGTGCCTGTTTACCCACCCTGCCCCAGGAGTGCCTGTGTTAACCCATATCCAACTGGGTGCCTGTTTACCCACCCTGCCCCAGGAGTGCCTGTGTTAACCCATATCCAACTGGGTGCCTGTTTACCCACCCTGCCCCAGGAGTGCCTGTGTTAACCCATATCCAACAGAGTAACTGTTTACCCACCCTGCCCCAGGAGGGCCTGTGTTAACCCATATCCAACTGGGTGCCTGTTTACCCACCCTGCCCCAGGAGGGCCTGTGTTAACCCATATCCAACTGGGTGCCTGTTTACCCATCCTGCCCCAGGAGTGCCTGTGTTAACCCATATCCAACTGGGTGCCTGTTTACCCACCCTGCCCCAGGAGGGCCTGTGTTAACCCATATCCAACTGCCCCAGTGCCTGTTTACCCACCCTGCCCCTGTTTACCCACCCTGCCCCAGTGTTGTTAACCCATATCCAACTGGGTGCCTGTTTACCCACCCTGCCCCAGGAGTGCCTGTGTTAACCCATATCCAACTGGGTGCCTGTTTACCCACCCTGCCCCAGGAGTGCCTGTGTTAACCCATATCCAACAGAGTAACTGTTTACCCACCCTGCCCCAGGAGAGCCAGTGTTAACCCATATCCAACTGGGTGCCTGTTTACCCACCCTGCCCCAGGAGTGCCAGTGTTAACCCATATCCAACAGAGTAACTGTTTACCCACCCTGCCCCAGGAGTGCCAGTGTTAACCCATATCCAACTGAGTGCCTGTTTACCCACCCTGCCCCAGGAGTGCCTGTTTACCCACCCTGCCCCAGGAGTGCCTGTTTACCCACCCTGCCCCAGGAGTGCCTGTACTAAGCCCCTTAAGGTCATGAATCAGCCTTCGGTTGCTGACTCCCAGTTTGACTGAGATGCTTCACTACGTCCACCCAGTCCCAGCCCCTAGGACGGTCCGTGTTTGAGCCATACTTGTCGGAGTACCTCCTCTTCTGGGCTTTTGTCATCTGTTCTTTCTTCTCTTTCTTCTTCTCGGGGGAACTATCCTCTTCTATCACTGTATCAGTCTTGCATTCAGCCTGGGGAGACCAACATGTTTATAAGCAGAGAAACAGGCAGATACTAGTTAACTTTTACTGTCTCAAATTCAAACTTCACCTAAACTCTGGACTCTTTAAATGAATTACAGCAGACATCCGGTTTGCATCTTGACTAGACTGACTGACTGACTGAGTTTGGTTTTAAGCCGCTTTTAGCAATATTCCAGCAACATCACGGCGGGGGACACCAGAAATGGGCTTCACACATTGTGCCCATGTGGGGATTCGAACCCGGGTCTTCGGCGTGACGAGCCAACGCTTTAACCATTAGGCTACCCCACCGCCCCGCATCTTGACTAGATGCTACTTTAGTCTGTTTGCAGTGAAAACGTACCGATGAATTTCACTTAAAAAAAAAGATAATTCGAATAAAGTGAAAATAATATTGCGAATCCTCATAACTTTACCTTGCGAATTGAACATTTAAATCTCAGAATTTTATTCAACCTAGGGTAAAAGTTGTTTACCAAACGATCATAGTTCCAAATCGCTATTATTGGTTTGTATTAAAAGGGTGTATGCACATTAAATGAAACACCGAGAACAAGTAGGGTTAGTCTAAGTTAATGCTCCTCACGTACCACACATGCATTTGTTTCACTGTTCCAACTACTGCGCTTACCCCCTTGTAATACAAACCATAAATAGCGATTTGAATCTATGATCACTTGTTAAACAACTTAACTCCTAAGTTGAATAAAATTCTGAGGTTTAAATGTTCAATTGGCAAGGTAAAATTATGAGGATTCGCAATCTTCATTTCACTGTATTTGATTTACTTTTTTGCTTAAAGTTAAATTCATCGGTACGTTTTCAATGCAAACAGACGATACCTTCTGTTGGAGGTTTGAATAAATGCAAGGGAGATAACTCCGACAGGTATACAAGGGAGATAATGCCAACGGGTATAAAGGGAGACAACACTGACTCACCTGGCTGACTGGAGCAGACTGGGGCTGTTCTTCAAGAAGAGAAGTTAGGTTGTCCTTCACCCACTCAAACAGTGAGAACGTCATTGGGGAACTCAAGAGATTTTCCACCTAAACAACCATCAGAGATATCAAGGCTTTCATATCAAATACAGAGAAAAATTGATAAATTCATAATTAATGACTAAGGAGACCTTACACTATGAGGAAAAGTTTTAACTAAAATTTCATTATTTTTCAGCAATCTCGGCAACAGACTCTTATGTCAACAAAGACGGTCACTTAACAAATAGCTTCAGCACAAATACTGCGGACTAACAATCGAAATTAAAAATATAAGGATTTGAAGAAAACATGACATGACCATAGTTAAAACTTTCCCACATCCAGAACATAAATTTCCCTTAGTCCACTACTCCCGGGGAGAAATGACCTCTACGATATCAATTCACATCCCTATATTGACCTGTACCTTACGATTCTGTGTTTGTTTGTATCAATTCATGACAACCACACTTTATTACAGTCTGGCCATGATTCATGAAGAACACTGGCAAAATGATTCACAACTGACACACTGCCCATGATTTATCACAAACAAAAGACCATGATTCACAACTGACACACCAGCTATGACAGAAGCTTGCCTCCCACTGAGACCGGGATTCATGTCTGACACACCAGCTATGACAGAAGCTTGCCTCCCACTGAGACCAGGATTCACAACTGACACACCAGCCATGACAGAAGCTTGCCTCCCACTGAGACCAGGATTCACAACTGACACACCAGCTATGACAGAAGCTTGCCTCCCACTGAGACCAGGATTCATGGCTGACACACCAGCCATGACAGAAGCTTGCCTCCCACTAACCTCCTCCAGGATCCCACTTCGTACTTTCTCCTTCACAGCATCAAGTCTGAAGAGAAAGGTTACATTCTTAGTACCATTATTATCAGGTTCTGTTACAGTCAGACTTAGTTACTTTATAGTCTGTATTGTATGTACATAGTTACGCCATAGTCAGTATTGTACATACATAGTTACGTTATAGTCAGTATTGTATGTAGATAGTTATGTTATAGTCAGTATTGTATGTACTTTGTTATGTTATAGTCAGTATTGTATGTACGTAGTTACGTTATAGTCAGTATTGTATGTACTTAGTTACGTTATAGTCGGTATTGTATGTCCTTAGTTATGTTATAGTCAGTATTGTACATACTTAGTTACAATATAGTCAGTATTGCATGTACTTAGTTACCTTACAGTCAGTATTGTTCGTACATAGTTACATTATAGTCAGTATTGTACGTACATAGTTACGTTATAGTCAGTACTATATGTCCTTAGTTACGTTATCGTCAGTATTGTATGTACTTAGTTACGTTATAGTTAGCATCGTATGTACTTAGTTACGTTATAGTCAGTATTGTATGTCCTTCGTTACGGTCAAGTCAGTACTGTGCAGACTTAGTTACAATATAGTCAGTATTGTATGTACTTAGTTACGTTATAGTCAGTATTCTACGAACATAGTTACGTTATAGTCAGTATTGTATGTACTTAGTTACGTTATAGTCAGTATTGTATGTACTTAGTTACGTTATAGTCAGTATTGTATGTACTTAGTTACGTTATAGTCAGTACTGTATGTACGTAGTTACGTTATAGGTAGTATTGTACGTACTTAGTTACGTTATAGTCAGTATTGTATGTACTTAGTTACGTTATAGTCAGTATTGTATGTCCTTAGTTACGGTAAAGTCAGTACTGTGCAGACTTAGTTACAATATAGTCAGTATTGTATGTACTTAGTTACTTTATAGTCAGTATTGTATGTACTTAGTAACGTTATAATCAGTACTGTATGTACATAGTTACGTTATAGTTAGCATCGTATGTCCTTAGTTACGTTATAGTCAGTATTGTATGTACTTAGTTACGTTATAGTCAGTATTGTATGTACTTAGTTACGTTATAGTCAGTATTGTATGTACTTAGTTACGTTATAGTCAGTACTGTATGTACGTAGTTACGTTATAGTCAGTATTGTACGTACTTAGTTACGTTATAGTCAGTATTGTATGTACTTAGTTACGTTATAGTCAGTATTGTATGTACTTAGTTACGTTATAGTTAGCATCGTATGTCCTTAGTTACGTTATAGTCAGTACTGTGCAGACTTAGTTACAATATAGTCAGTATTGTATGTACTTAGTTACCTTATAGTCAGTATTGTATGTACTTAGTTACGTTATAGTCAGTATCGTATGTCCTTAGTTACGTTATAGTCAGTACTGTGCAGACTTAGTTACAATATAGTCAGTATTGTATGTACTTAGTTACCTTATAGTCAGTATTGTATGTACTTAGTTACGTTATAGTCAGTATGCAGTATTGTATGTATGTACTTAGTTACGTTATAATCAGTATTGTATGTACTTAGTTACCTTATAGTCAGTATTGTTCGTACATTGCCACATTATAGTCAGTATTGTATGTACATAGTTACGTTAGAGTCAATATTGCTTGTACATGGTTACATTATAGTCAGTATTGTTTGTACATGGTTACTTTATAGTCAGTACTGTTGTACTTAGTTACGTTATGGTCAGTACTGTATGTACGTAGTTACGTTATAGTCAGTATTGTATGTACATAGTTACGTTATAGTCAGTACTGTATGTACTTAGTTACGTAATAGTCAATATTGTATGTACTTAGGTCATAGTCAGTACTGTATGTACTTAGTTACGTAATAGTCAGTTTTGTATGTACATAGTTATGTTATAGTCAGTATTGTACGTACATAGTTACGTTATAGTCGGTATTGTACAGACTTAGTTACGTTTTAGTCGGTACTGTACGTACTTAGTGACGTTATAGTCTGTATTGTACAGACTTAGTTACGCTATAGTCGGTATTGTACAGACTTAGTTACGTTATAGTCGGTATTGTACGTACTTAGTTACATTATAGTCGGTATTGTACAGACTTAGTTACATTATAGTCGGTATTGTACAGACTTAGTTACGTTATAGTCGGTATTGTACGTACTTAGTTACATTATAGTCAGTATTGTACGTACTTAGTTACGTTATAGTCGGTATTGTACAGACTTAGTTACATTATAGTCGGTATTGTACGTACCTAGTTATGTTATAGTCGGTATTGTACAGACTTAGTTACGTAATAGTCAGTATTGTACAGACTTAGCACCACGGTTATCGATCACACAAAAACTGATATTTTGTGACTGGTTAAAGAGTAAAGCAGAAGCATATGTGTGTGTTTGTTGTAAGAAAGTAAACGTGTTTCGTGTACATGTGTTGCAGAAGAGGAAGGGTGAAAGGCCTACATGTGTTTATTGTAGAAGAGGTCAAGGTTGACTGTGGGGGCCACTTCTGGGTAGCTGTCTCCCCAGGATATCTCCACCAGGAACGACTGATGCTCACCGTCCTCACCATACTGAAACATATCACAGTGACGTTATCAGACACAACACACTGATGCTATCAGACACAACAGTCATGTCATCAGACACAATAGTGATTTCATCAGACACAACAGTGATGTTATCAGACACAATAGTGATTTCATCAGACACAACACAGTGATTTCATCAGACACAACAGTGATTTCATCAGACACAACAGTGATGTTATCAGACACAACAGTGATTTCATCAGACACAACAGTGATTTCATTACACACAACACAGTGATTTCATCAGACACAACATTGTCAACAGTGATGCTATCAGACACTACACAGTCACGTTATCAGACACAACATATTGATGTTATCAGACACTACACAGTGATTTCATCAGACACAACAGTCACGTTATCAGACACAACCCAGTGATTTCAACAGACACAACACAGTGATGTTATCAGACACAAAGCTGATGTTTACAGACAAAACAGTGATGTCATCAGGCAGTACAGTGATGCTATCAGACACAACACAGTCATGTCATCAGACACAATAGTCATGTTATCAGACAACACAGTGATGTTATCAGACACAACAGTGATTTCATCTGACACAACACAGTGATGTCATCAGACACAAAACAGTGATGTCATCAGACAGTACAGTGATGCTATCAGACACAACAGTCATGTCATCAGACACAATAGTGATTTCATCAGACACAACAGTGATGTTATCAGACACAATAGTGATTTCATCAGACACAACACAGTGATTTCATCAGACACAACAGTGATTTCATCAGACACAACAGTGATGTTATCAGACACAATAGTCATTTCATCAGACACAACACAGTGATTTCATCAGACACAACAGTGATTTCATCAGACACAACACAGTGATGTTATCAGACACAACAGTGATTTCATCAGACACAACACAGTGATTTCATCAGACACAACATTGTCAACAGTGATGCTATCAGACACTACACAGTCACGTTATCAGACACAACATATTGATGTTATCAGACACATACAGCGATGTTATCAGACACATACAGCGATGTTATCAGACACATACAGCGATGTTATCAGACACAACAGTGATGTCATCAGATACAACACAGTCACGTTATCAGACACAACACAGTAATCTCAAAAGACACAACACAGTCACGTTATCAGACACAACATATTGATGTTATCAGACACAACACAGTGATATTATTAGACACAACACTGATCAAAGTTTAATGATCTCTGGTCATACTGTGTGTAATCCCCACCTCATGGCTGATCTGTTCCTGTCGCCATGACACATAGAGCATAGCCCCCCACCTCATGGCTGATCTGTTCCTGTCGCCATGACACATAGAGCATAGCCCCCCACCTCATGGCTGATCTGTTCCTGTCGCCATGATACATAGAGCATAGCCCCCCACCTCATGGCTGATCTGTTCCTGTCGCCATGACACATAGAGCATAGCCCCCCACCTCATGGCTGATCTGTTCCTGTCGCCATGATACATAGAGCATAGCCCCCACCTCATGGCTGATCTGTTCCTAACACCATGATACATAGAGCATAGCCCCCACCTCATGGCTGATCTGTTCCTGTCGCCATGATACATAGAGCATAGCCCCCCACCTCATGGCTGATCTGTTCCTAACACCATGATACATAGAGCATAGCCCCCCACCTCATGGCTGATCTGTTCCTGTCGCCATGATACATAGAGCGTAGTCCCCTACCTCATGGCTGATCTGTTCCTAACACCATGATACATAGAGCGTAGCCCCCCACCTCATGGCTGATCTGTTCCAGTCGCCATGATACATAGAGCGTAGTCCCCTACCTCATGGCTGATCTGTTCCTAACACCATGATACATAGAGCGTAGCCCCCCACCTCATGGCTGATCTGTTCCTGTCGCCATGATACGTAGAGCGTAGCCCCCCCCACCTCATGGCTGATCTGTTCCTGTCGCCATGATACATAGAGCGTAGCCCCCCACCTCATGGCTGATCTGTTCCTGTCGCCATGACACATAGAGCATAGCCCCCTACCTTATGGCTGATCTGTTCCTGTCGCCATGATACATAGAGCGTAACCGCCCACCTTATGGCTGATCTGTTCCTAACACCATGATACATAGAGCGTAACCGCCCACCTTATGGCTGATCTGTTCCTAACACCACGATACATAGAGCGTAACCGCCCACCTTATGGCTGATCTGTTCCTAACACCACGATACATAGAGCGTAACCGCCCACCTTACGGCTGATCTGTTCCTGTCGCCATGATACATAGAGCATAGCCCCCCACCTCATGGCTGATCTGTTCCTAACACCACGATACATAGAGTGTAACTGTCCACCTTATGGCTGATCTGTTCCTGTCGCCATGATACATAGAGCATAGCCCCCCACCTCATGGCTGATCTGTTCCTAACACCATGATAGGTAGAGCGTAGTCCCCTACCTCATGGCTGATCTGTTCCTAACACCATGATACATAGAGTGTAACTGTCCACCTTATGGCTGATCTGTTCCTGTCGCCATGATACATAGAGCATAGCCCCCCACCTCATGGCTGATCTGTTCCTAACACCATGATACGTAGAGCGTAGTCCCCTACCTCATGGCTGATCTGTTCCTAACACCATGATACATAGAGTGTAACTGTCCACCTTATGGCTGATCTGTTCCTGTCGCCATGACACATAGAGCGTAGCCCCCCACCTTATGGCTGATCTGTTCCTAACACCATGATACATAGAGCATAGCTCCCTACCTCATGGCTGATCTGTTCCTAACACCACGATACATAGAGCGTAACCGCCCACCTTATGGCTGATCTGTTCCTGTCGCCATGACACATAGAGCATAGCCCCCCACCTCATGGCTGATCTGTTCCTAACACCATGATACTAGAGCGTAGTCCCCTACCTCATGGCTGATCTGTTCCTAACACCATGATACATAGAGCATAGCCCCCCACCTCATGGCTGATCTGTTCCTGTCGCCATGACACATAGTGTGTAGCCCCCCCACCTTATGGCTCATCTGTTCCTGTCGCCATGATACATAGAGTATAGCCCCCTACCTCATGGCTGATCTGTTCCTAGCACCACGATACATAGAGTGTAGCCCCCCACCTTATGGCTGATCTGTTCCTGTTGCCATGATACATAGAGCATAGCTCCCTACCTCATGTCTGATCTGTTCCTGACTGACTGAGTTTTGCTTTTACGCCGCTTTTAGCAATATTCCAGCAACTTCACGGCGGGGGACACTAGAAATGGGCTTCACACATTGTACCCGATCTGTTCCTAACACCATGATAGAGAGAGCGTAGCCCCCCACCTTATGGCTCATCTGTTCCTGTTGCCATGATACATAGAGCATAGCTCCCTACCTCATCTCTGATCTGTTCCTGACTGACTGAGTTTTGCTTTTAAGCCGCTTTTAGCAATATTCCAGCAAACTTCACGGCGGGGGACACCAGAAATGGGCTTCACACATTGTACCCGATCTGTTCCTAACACCATGATAGAGAGAGCGTAGCCCCCCACCTTATGGTTCATCTCCTTAAACTTCCCATTGCCATCATATATAGAGCGTAGCTTGTACCTTATACTGGAAGCAGGTTGGGCTGATCTGCTTAAATTTCCCATTGCCATCATATATAGAGTGTAGCTTGTACCTTATACTGGAAGCAGGTTGGGCTTATCTGCTTAAATTTCCCATCGCCATCATATATAGAGTGTAGCTTGTACCTTATACTGGAAGCAGGTTGGGCTGATCTGCTTAAATTTCCCATTGCCATCATATATAGAGTGTAGCTTGTACCTTATACTGGAAGCAGGTTGGGCTGATCTGCTTAAATTTCCCATTGCCATCATATATAGAGTGTGTAGCTTGTACCTTATACTGGAAGCAGGTTGGGCTTATCTGCTTAAATTTCCCATCACCATCATATATAGAGTGTAGCTTGTACCTTATACTGGAAGCAGGTTGGGCTGATCTGCTTAAATTTCCCATTGCCATCATATATAGAGTGTAGCTTGTACCTTATACTGGAAGCAGGTTGGGCTGATCTGCTTAAATTTCCCATCGCCATCATATATAGAGTGAAGCTTGTACCTTATACTGGAAGCAGGTTGGGCTGATCTGCTTAAATTTCCCATTGCCATCATATATAGAGTGTAGCTTGTACCTTATACTGGAAGCAGGTTGGGCTGATCTGCTTAAATTTCCCATCACCATCATATATAGAGTGTAGCTTGTACCTTATACTGGAAGCAGGTTGGGCTGATCTGCTTAAACTTCCCATCGCCATCATATATATAGAGTGAAGCTTGTACCTTATACTGGAAGCAGGTTGGGCTGATCTGCTTAAACTTCCCATCGCCATCATATATAGAGTGTAGCTTGTACCTTATACTGGAAGCAGGTTGGGCTGATCTGCTTAAACTTCCCATCGCCATCATATATAGAGTGAAGCACCTCCAGCTCCTCCTGAAGCAAATATGGATAAATCTGTCATCTTGAAAAGACAGGATTCGGGGAATCTCTACAAACATTCAGCATAACATTTGTCCCTGCTGACAGGAAAAAGCAAATAAACAAAAACATTGTCTTGGAAAAAGGTGAAGTTTTTAGACAAGTGACTTAGAACTTAAGTTTGTCTTAAAACTTATGTCTTATTACATCAGCATTGAGATGTTCAGCTGAATACAACACACATACAGTACACATACAGTACACATACACACACATACAGTACACATACAACACACATACAGTACACATACAACACATACAGTACACATACAGTACACATACACACACACATAACAGTACATACACAACACACATACACACACATACAACATACAATAATACACATACAGTACACATACACACATACATACACATGTACACATACAGTACACATACACACACATACAGTACACATACAGTACACATACAACACACACAGTACACATACAGTACACATACACACACATACAGTACACATACAACACACATACAGTACACATACAACACACATACAGTACACAATACATACAGTACACACACATAACACACATACAGTACACATACAGTACACACAGTACATACAGTACACATACAACACACACAGTACACATATACACACACACATACATACACACATACAACACACATACAGTACACATACACACACATACAGTAACACACATACAGTACACATAACAACACACATACAGTACATACACACATAACATTCACATACAGTACACATACACACACATACAACACACATACAGTACACATACAGTACACATACAACACACATACAGTACACATACAACACACATACACACATACAGCATAATTGACATACAACATCATAATAGCAATAATATTATTAACACATATTATCATCAGTACACATAATATAATAACATTACAATACACATACATTACACATCAATATCAAAGTAATACAGTATAATAATAATATCATCACACATACAGTAACACATCATAATAATCATCACTATCATCAATCGATGATAATAATCACATAGATATCATACAGCACACATAATAACACACATATAGTACACATTATTAGTAATATTACACAACATACATCATCATCAATAATACATATTACTAATACATTATATAACATTAATAGCACACATATCATCATTACCATCATCATCATCAACACATTATCATTAACATAATAATAACGATTATCATCATTGTTATCATCATATAATAATCATACATATCATCATCAACATAATCATCATCATTACGAACATCAATATCATCAAATATCATCATTAACATCATACGAATCATTATCATTATAATATTACGATTGCATATCATCATTAATTATAATATTATCATCATTATATAATAATATCATCATCATCATCGAATCATCATCATCATTATACTAATATAATATCATCATCATTAATATAATATTAATATCATCATATAATCATCAATATCATCATCATCATCATCATCATTATCATCATTAATCATCATCATCATTATTAATCATCAATATGAACATCATCATAATATTAATCATCATTATTAATATCATCATCATCGATATCATTAATATAATATTATCATAGATTATAATCATCATCAATCATCATCATCATCATCATCATTAATATCATCATCATCAATCATCATCATAATACAATCATATAGAATCATCATCATCATCAATTATAACATATCAATATCATCATCATCATCATCATCAATAATATCATCATCAATATCATCATCATCAATATTACATTAATCATTAATAATCATCATCATCATCATCATTATCATCATTATCATCATCATATCATCATCAATTAATAATATCATCATATATAACATAATATCATCATCATCATCATCATCATTAATATCATCATCATTATGATTCAATATATTATCATATAATAACATCATCATTCTCATCATCATTATCATAATATCATCATCATCATCATCATTGATCATCATCATCATCATTATCATCATCATATACCATCATTGTTAACATCAATCATTATCAATATAATACCATCATCAATATCATCATCATATCATCATCATCATCATCATCATCATCATCAATATCATCATCATCATCAATCCATCATCATTAATTTACCATTACGTAATAATTACCATTACCAATTAATTATCATCATTATTAATATTATCATACAATTATCATCATTATCATATCACACATCATACCATCAATCATATAATACAATATCATCATCATCATCATCATTACACATCAACATCAATCATCATCATCATCATTGATACACCATCACACATCATCATCATCATCATCATCAGTACAAGTACCACATCATCATTACAATTAATTACACATACAATCATCATCATCAACATACACCATTATCATCATACATCATCATCATCATCACATCATCATCATACACACATTGTTACCAATATCATCATCATCATCATCATCATCACACAATATCATCATCATCATCATCATCATTACACATCATCATCATACAAGATATACCATCATCAACACACATCAATATACATACATTACACATACAATACATATACACACACACATATAACACACATACAGTACACATACAACACATACAGTACATATACATCAATACATACAACACATACAGTACACATACAACATACATACACATACAACACACATACACACACATACAACACAGATACAGCATACACATACACACACATACAACAACACATACACACACACACACATACAACACATACATACACATACACACACATACAACATACATACACACACATACAACACACATACAACACAGATACAGTACACATACAACACACATACACACACATACAACACACATACAGTACACATACAACACACATACACACACATACAGTACTCCTTTTGTTCACATACAATGAGTGTTTCTCTCAACAGAACTTAAAATCCACTCACCTCTTGCTGGTCCAGGCAAGACATTGCTGACTCCCCGAGATCAGGATGTGTGTTTCATGATCTCACTGCTCATTGTTAGGATGTCCTCTACAAAACAACAGTGACAATAACCTCCGACATGTCTAACCTTTATAAAACAACAGTGACAGTAACCTCCGACATGTCTAACCTTTATAAAACAACAGTGACAATAACCTCCGACATGTCTAACCTTTATAAAACAACAGTGACAATAACCTCCGACATGTCTAACCTTTATAAAACAACAGTGACAATAACCTCCGACATGTCTAACCTTATAAAACAACAGTGACAATAACCTCCTCGGCACATGTCTAACCTTTATAAAACAACAGTGACAATAACCTCCGACATGTCTAACCTTTATAAAACAACAGTGACAATAACCTCCGACATGTCTAACCTTTATAAAACAACAGTGACAATAACCTCCGACATGTCTAACCTTTATAAAACAACAGTGACAATAACCTCCGACATGTCTAACCTTTATAAAACAACAGTGACAATAACCTCAACAGTGACCAATAACCACATGTCTAACCTTTATAAAACAACAGTGACAATAACCTCCTACATGTCTAACCTTTATAAAACAACAGTGACAATAACCTCCTACATGTCTAACCTTTATAAAACAACAGTGACAATAACCTCCTAACCTTTATACAACATGTCTAACCTTTTATAAAACAACAGTGACAATAACCTCCGACATGTCTAACCTTTATAAAACAACAGTGACAATAACCTCCGACATGTCTAACCTTTATAAAACAACAGTGACAATAACCTCCGACATGTCTAACCTTTATAAAACAACAGTGACAATAACCTCCGACATGTCTAACCTTATAAAACAACAGTGACAATAACCTCCGACATGTCTAACCTTTATAAAACAACAGTGACAATAACCTCCGACATGTCTAACCTTTACATAAACATGTCTAACAACAGTGGTACCTTGTCTTTTATCTTAGGAGAAACAAGAGTCATCAGAAGATGACATATCCCCCCGGCCCCCACATATTTGAAAGTACAAATCATCTGACAGTTACTTAAAGTTCAGCTTGACTTTTTTTAAAACAAAGTCCAAATCGTTTCCATGGAAATCATGAGAAATATAAATGCCAAAAATCTGTAAATAGCAAAGGCACCATTTCAAAATTTGCCTAATATATCTGCCAACTTCTGTTGAAAGATACTGAACGCTTTTTGAGTTGTCCACCGGAAATGAAGCTCACCCCACCCTTTTGGGACTAAGTCCTAACCGTTTCCATGGAAACCGGAAAAATAAATCTGCCAAAAATCTGCCAAATAGCAAAAGGCACCACTTTGGCATCTGCCTCACATATCTGCCAAGTTTTGCTGAAAGATATTAAGAAGTTTTCCAGTTGTGCTCCGGAATCGAAACCAACCACTCCCTTTTGGGACTAAGTTTGAATCATTTCCATGGAAACCCCAAAAAATATAAATGACAAAAATCTGCAAATAGCAAAAGTCACCACTTTGGGATCTGCCAAGCGTATCTGCCAAGTTTTGTTGAAAGATATTAAGAGGTTTTCGTGTTGTGCTCTGGAAGCGAAACCCACCCCTCCCTTTTGAGACTAAGTCCAAATTTGTTTCCATGGAAACCGACAAAAATAAAAATTACAAAAATCTGTAAATAGCAAAAGGCACCACTTCAAGATCTGTCTCATATATCTGCCAAGTTCTGATGAAAGATATTGAACGGTTTTCAAGTTGTGCTCCGGAAACGAAACCAACCCCTCCTTTTTGAGACGAAGTCCGAATCATTTCCATGGAAACCAAGAAAATAATAAATCACAAAAATCTGTAAATAGCAAAATGCACCACTTTAGGTTCTCTTTGATATATCTATCAGGTTTTGCAGAAAAATACTGAACGGTTTCTGAGTTATGCTCCGGGATCGAAGCCCACCCCTCCCTTTAAGACTAAGTCCAAAACGTTTCCATGGAAACGGAGAAAAATAAAAATGAGAAAAATCTGTAAATAGCAAAAGGCACCACCTTAAGTTCTGTTTGATATATCTACCAATTTTTGTTGAAAAATATCGAACGGTCTTGGAGTTATGCTCCGGAAAAAAAATGATTGCGGACGGACAGACGGACGAGGCGACGACTATATCCCCCCGCATAACATGCCGAGGGGATAAAAGGTAACTGTGATTAATAAAGTTGAATAAGAACATATTTTGAGAACAAATTATGCACCAATCACTTCACATTCATGACAACATCTCTACTCTAAGATAATGAATGATTCTTAATTTGCAAGTTTTTCTTCATGCTTCAATTTGAGAAGCTGACAAGCAGCCAACAGGAAGCACACTGCACCAAGTTGCCAGACATTTTAATGTTTATCCAAACACAGGCAATATCAGGGCTCCAGATAAGGGCCGTATCGGCGTATGTATGGATAAAAAAATTGCACAATACGGTAGGAAATAATTTAGAAAACGTAGCAGATACGCACCACGGCAATGGTGTACGGTCTTAGAATCATTTACAGACGTATTTATCTGAAAAAGTATTGATTTATTGTATATTGACCTGTTTACACAAGACTAGCAATGTTGTGGTGCATATATGAAACGAAACACAAGATTACTGATACTCCATTAAATTCCATTCAGTACTCTAAATGTAGGCTTAAGGTTTTCGAGTACTCCTATATTGAAAAAATAAGGAGTACGTAATCCTGGTGTTCAAAAAATTATCTGGAGCCCTGCAATATCATTTCCAGGGCACCAATCCTGACTTGCCAGGGGCCTGATGTCTACACATGATGCCATGTCATACAAATTTACAAAACATTAACAGCTCAGTCAACATGTGGGTCGAGACCAGTTAGTGGGCGCATCACTGGAAACCAATTCAAGAAGCAGCCCACTGGCCCATCATCCAGTGATCATGGTGATACGCCCAGTGTTTTCTTCCAGGTCACAGTCAGTCATGTTGTAGACAGCAAAACTGGGAACTTTTCAGAGGGGTACACAAAGCATGGTGGCTAACCTTGTGTACTAGCAATTATGTCCCTGACTCCCAGTCAATTAATTGTTAACATTCAATGTTAACATAGTCATTTGTGTCAAGTGTTTCAGTCTATGAACATTCAGTGTTTCAATCTATCCCAGCTTAAGCAGATAGCCGACGGCGTCCAAGAACTGAAGAGGTGATTTCTGTCCAAGCTCAAGCTGCTCCTTGAGTCCTTACAACACTGCCAACAGTTGTGACTCTTCCTCTGCATGTTGACTGAACACACTTCCAGTGTACACAAGACTGTCTCTCGACATTCTTAGTGTGAAGATAACCGTCAAATAGGACTTGGGGGCTACCTCTCCGTGACATAACAAACTCAACATTACGCAGACCAGCCATGTTGATGCCATGTTAGTTTGTTGTCAACGGCTATATACTATACCGAACTATCTCAATTTACTTTCTCGTCTCACCTTCTCATTTCCCTCCACTTCCAATAATACTGTGTATCTTTTATCATGGCACTAAAACAACTTAATTTCAACATTTAACAACCTACACATTATCCAATTTGTAAAATTGTTCTACTCACTAGAGGTTTATCTTTCATCATGAAACTAAAACAACTTTTAGCTAATCTCAAATTTCCTTGACACAAAACACTACAGAACAGTTTAATCCCTCCCTTGATCTCATCTGTATACTCTATACACTAATGTCTCTTTGGGTCAGTTCATTATGCCAGACAGGTAAATGCTGTGTTTTGTTTTAACTAATTGTAGGGGTACTGGGCTGTAGGGGTAGTGGCATGTAGGGGTTATGGGATACAACCTCCCAGAGTGTGGGTTGGAATCCCACATGTAACAACCAAACAGGGTACAAGAATCTTTACTTTACAGAGAAAATGTAATCATAGCGGACATAAAATTTCCAAGTCCTATGCTGGGATTTGAAACTCGGACCCTCTGATCTGAAGTCAGACGCCATGTCCACATGACCAAAGAGGTTAACCCTGAGAGCAAACTGACAAGGTAAGAATGTCATCTTTGAGATGACTCCACGCCCTGCTACATAATTCCTGACATAGCTGTGATAGGTTCACAGATCAGCCCAGCACTTCATTCATTGCACAAAACTATCTTAGTGCTAACCCTGTCATTAGCCTTGGTAAGTGTGGGAGTTATGATCACCTTACTATTTCGACAGCCTTGTGCCATGGTGTCCAGGTTTCATTTCGACAGCTCTGAATTTTTTAAGTCTCATGGTAGTGCAAGTGTCCAAGATCAGAACTAGTGTGTAACTTTAGGCCAATCTTTGGTAGACATTTGGAACAACATTCACCAGGCACCTGGTGTCTTAAATGAATCGTCACTGCTTCTCCTGTATTGACAAAGGTGGTCCCATCTGACATCAACTGCCCCACCCCCTTTTTAGTGTCTGACCCTATGTATCATGTGACATCAACTGCCCCCTTTTTAGTGTCTGACCCTCTGTATCATGTGACCAGGTATCGGTTTGTCTGTAAACTTGTTATCATAAATCAGTGACCAGATGACAGATCAAAACATAAGCAGTTACCGGCTTTTCCTCACAAAAGTGCGGACCCCCATCAATAAATTGTACAGGTACTTGCTGGAAATATGAAGGTCCTGAAAAGTACTGAAATGGTGTAGTATAGTGTACATTCAGATAATTACTTCAGAGCCTGTCAGTGGGTTGTAGTCAAATGGGCCGAAGGACAAAAGGGCTGAAAAAAAAGTCAAATGGGCCAAGGCCAAAAGTCAAATGGACCGAAATCAAAAGTCAAAATGGCTATAAAAAGGGCCGAAAAATACAAATTTAATAAATTACATAATAAAAATAGTGTAAATAGTGTTTAGTTTGTTGTTGTTGTTGTTATTTTAAATGTATGTATGTCTTCGTTGTTAAGTGTCTTGACTCAGTGTCATGACTAATCTGTATAGTGTGCAGTGTTCCAAGGCTGTAAGAAGCAACCAGCACACCTTAAAGTGTGATCAATGTCAGTCATGGACACACAGGGTTTGTGGCACAGGGATGACTCGTGAACACTACTTTTGACTTATGTAAGGCAACTGTTGCCGAGATCAAGTCAACAGGAGACAGAGTGCCAGGCAAACATACCCACAGCCACACAGGCAGGCAAACTTGTCTCAGTCCAAGTAAGAGCTCTGGTGAGTACCACTTCCTATTGTGATTACTAATTAGTAGTTAACTGTTAACGAACTGTTAATTGAACTTCCTTAATTGTTAATTGGAGATGTTAATGAATCGAACTGACTCTTAATTAGATCAATTAACCTTGTTGTTATAGGTGAAGAAGGCTTCATCACAAGACCTGTTCAAGTCTGCCAGGTCTAGCTGAAGATGTTATTGATATTGTTATGATATTATGTTTTAATGCTATATATATCAATAAAAATGAAAAACATTGGTAAACGTTTTTCTGTTCAGCCCATATGACTAAGAATAAGGCTCTTTTGACATTTTTTCACGGCCCATTTGACTTTTTCCATCGGCCCATTTGACTTGGCACTTCTCGGCCCATTTGACTAGATCCCGAATGAGTCAGTGGTCATGTGGAAAACGGAACGTCTCCCAGGACACGGTATGTTGGGTTTTCTTCATTCATTCTCTGTATCTGTGTTAAGCCCATATCTGGTGTCCCCCGCCGTGATATTGCTGGAATATTGCTAAAAGCGGCGTAAAACAATACTCACTCACGCCTACGAGGCCGCGACTGACTGTGTCGTGTAAAACCGCGACAATCTCCTGCATGTACAGAAATCCAGGGTTCATTGTACAAAGTCTGTAGAACATGTGAAGTTTAGGATTCCTTGCGTGTATTAATTGGGATTTACAGATAAATGTAATTGTGTCTTAAATACATTAATATGGAGTGTTCGAAATCAATTAACTGCATCATTACTACCGACTGAGTACAGGTATTACACTGGAAATCAGTACAACTGCCACGAAGGCTTTAGTTGATCACGATGACAAATTTCTGAAATGGACTGCGCGAAAACTGGTTCTTCTAGTTCACAGAGAGAACTTGCACCTGTCAGGATGACATTGCGTCATAGCTGCTTTTGATCGGCCGAGGTTATCACATATCGTTAAAAAGAACACGATTATTCAGAATATGACTGAGTAAGGGTTGCCCTGTGTGAGGACAAATTGCTTACCAAATGGAAATAGATCATGCCTCGGCTATGGGCGCAGCCATTTTTATTTCCCAAGAATCATTGCGAAATATGTGAAAATGACATAAACAGGAAACGAAACTAGAGCGAGTGTGAAATATTAAAGTACATGCCGGGATCGACTTTGAAAGATTCTGGCAAACAGTTAACGAGAAAGAAGTATGTCCACTGTCGTTCAAAAGTTTAATATGGAATAGATTCAAACGCCTACTCTAAGGCTGCTGTAAATCTGAAACACAGTTTGTAGTTCTAAGTCTGTGTGTCGACAAAATAATAATCAAGTAATCGACAATGTACTTTCCAGACAGGAAGGGAATATTCACAATAACAGATGATTACAGAAATACAACGGTATATGTAACAAGTGATGGATGAAAAAGACTTTACTTGACCACAAGGAAAACTGCGGGCTGTGTAGATCTACACTGTCGCGGTGCAGACGGAAGGAGTATGTGAGATGTTTGAATGGCACTTTAGAAGTTGATGAATAACAAGAAAGTTATGATACTTTATTGGATGGCAACGCCTTTATTATACTATGACGGGACGTTTCGGTATATATAAGTTCCTATGTCAAGCAAGAGTAAAGTGGTGCAGCTCAACACCGACATATACTACCCATCCAAAGTTTAGACTCACTTGTGTAAATGTAGCCACTTACTTCAGGCAACTGTTCTAAGCTTGATTTTGCAAAATCTTTCATACTGTTAAAAGGGACTGTTTACAAATGAACTGACGTATTGGAAAACAAATTCCTAACGTTGAGAAGATTATTGTCATGAGTTCACTAAATGATAAAAATCAGTGAAAATTGGCGAATTCTTAAAAACAGTTTACACCAGAACGCAGCTGTTCACGTGCACAATATTTGCACATGCTTTTCAGCAATTTGATGCATGATCCTCGTGCAGTTCATCTGCATAAGGTTTGCAGTTGGTTCCCCCATGTTGGTGGAGAAATCAATCTTCGATGTAACCATATATATGTATTTACATGTACATAATATATAGTGAGTGTTTTAAGTGAGTCTAAATTTTTGAAAGGAATTATATTTCATGTCAAATGTCTGTTCAACTGATATATACTGATCATATATCAATTCATCACATGTCCGTTTATCTGAAATAAATTGTGTCATTCAGTCTTCAGCTGAAGATGCTGTGACGTTGTGAGCCTGTAAACCATGATGCTGCTGTTGATCTCTAAAAGTGCGACAGTCAGCCTTCAGCTGAAGATGTTGTGACGTTGTGAGCCTGTAAACCATGATGCTGCTGTTGATCTCTAAAAGTGCGACAGTCAGCCTTCAGCTGAAGATGTTGTGACGTTGTGAGCCTGTAAACCATGATGCTGCTGTTGATCTCTAAAAGTGCGACAGTCAGCCTTCAGCTGAAGATGCTGTGACGTTGTGAGCCTGTAAACCATGATGCTGCTGTTGATCTCTAAAAGTGCGACAGTCAGTCTTCAGCTGAAGATGCTGTGACGTTGTGAGCGTTCAGCCCATGATGCTGTTGTTGATCTCTAAAAGTGCGACAGTCAGCCTTCAGCTGAAGATGCTGTGACGTTGTGAGCCTGTAAACCATGATGCTGCTGTTGATCTCTAAAAGTGCGACAGTCAGTCTTCAGCTGAAGATGCCGTGAGCCTGTAAACCATGATGCTGCTGTTGATCTCTAAAAGTGCGACAGTCAGTCTTCAGCTGAAGATGCCGTGAGCCTGTAAACCATGATGCTGCTGTTGATCTCTAAAAGTGCGACAGTCAGCCTTCAGCTGAAGATGCCGTGAGCCTGTAAACCATGATGCTGCTGTTGATCTCTAAAAGTGCGACAGTCAGTCTTCAGCTGAAGATGCTGTGATGTTGTGAGCCTGTAAACCATGATGCTGCTGTTGATCTCTAAAAGTGCGACAGTCAGTCTTCAGCTGAAGATGCTGTGACGTTGTGAGCCTGTAAACCATGATGCTGCTGTTGATCTCTAAAAGTGCGACAGTCAGTCTTCAGCTGAAGATGCTGTGACGTTGTGAGCCTGTAAACCATGATGCTGCTGTTGATCTCTAAAAGTGCGACAGTCAGTCTTCAGCTGAAGATGCTGTGACGTTGTGAGCCTGTAAACCATGATGCTGCTGTTGATCTCTAAAAGTGCGACAGTCAGCCTTCAGCTGAAGATGCTGTGACGTTGTGAGCCTGTAAACCATGATGCTGCTGTTGATCTCTAAAAGTGCGACAGTCAGCCTTCAGCTGAAGATGTTGTGACGTTGTGAGCCTGTAAACCATGATGCTGCTGTTGATCTCTAAAAGTGCGACAGTCAGCCTTCAGCTGAAGATGTTGTGACGTTGTGAGCCTGTAAACCATGATGCTGCTGTTGATCTCTAAAAGTGCGACAGTCAGAAGATGCTGTCGTTGTGAGCTGTAAGATGCTGTTGATCTCTAAAAGTGCGACAGTCAGCCTTCAGCTGAAGATGCCGTGAGCCTGTAAACCATGATGCTGCTGTTGATCTCTAAAAGTGCGACAGTCAGCCTTCAGCTGAAGATGTTGTGACGTTGTGAGCGTTCAACCCATGATGATGTTGTTGATCCAACTCGAGAAGAAGGACAGTTTAGTGGACACCGTCGGCATTGTAATGGGACAGTGCATTGTGGCCCATGACAGGACTCCAACAACCACGAATTTGTCGTCAAGGCGACACGCAAGACTTCCGCCACTGTCTCCCTGAAACAACAGAGTGAGTGAGTGAATTACCTCTGGTTACTGTGATGTATAGGAGAGTGAGACGTCGTGAATCACATCACCTGAGATCACTACACTACAGTGAATCACATCACCTGAGATCACTACACTACAGTGAATCACATCACCTGAGATCACTACACTACAGTGAATCACATCACCTGAGATCACTACACTACAGTGAATCACATCACCTGAGACCACTACACTACAGTGAATCACATCACCTGAGATCACTACACTACAGTGAATCACATCACCTGAGATCACTACACTACAGTGAATCACATCACCTGAGATCACTACACTACAGTGAATCACATCACCTGAGATCACTACACCACAGTGAATCACATCACCTGATGTCACTACACCACAGTGAATCACATCACCTGACACCACTACACTACAGTGAATCACATCACCTGAGATCACTACACTACAGTGAATCACATCACCTGAGATCACTACACTACAGTGAATCACATCACCTGAGACCACTACACTACAGTGAATCACATCACCTGAGACCACTACACTACAGTGAATCACATCACCTGAGACCACTACACTACAGTGAATCACATCACCTGAGATCACTACACTACAGTGAATCACATCACCTGAGACCACTACACTACAGTGAATCACATCACCTGAGACCACTACACTACAGTGAATCACATCACCTGAGATCACTACACCACAGTGAATCACATCACCTGAGACCACTACACTACAGTGAATCACATCACCTGAGACCACTACACTACAGTGAATCACATCACCTGAGATCACTACACTACAGTGAATCACATCACCTGAGATCACTACACCACAGTGAATCACATCACCTGAGACCACTACACTACAGTGAATCACATCACCTGAGACCACTACACTACAGTGAATCACATCACCTGAGATCACTACACACCACAGTGAATCACATCACCTGAGATCACTACACTACAGTGAATCACATCACCTGAGATCACTACACTACAGTGAATCACATCACCTGAGATCACTACACCACAGTGAATCACATCACCTGATGAGATCACCTGGATACACTACACCAATGAGATCACTACACTACAGTGAATCACCTGAGATCACTACACCACAGTGAATCACATCACCTGAGACCACTACACTACAGTGAATCACATCACCTGAGACCACTACACTACAGTGAATCTATCACCTGAATCACACATCACCTGAGATCACTGACACTACAGAGACCACTACACTACAGTGAATCACATCACCTGAGATCACTACACTACAGTGAATCACATCACCTGAGACCACTACACTACAGTGAATCACATCACCTGACATCACTACACTACAGTGACAGAGATCACTACACTACAGTGAATCACATCACCTGAGATCACTACACTACAGTGAATCACATCACCTGAGATCACTACACTACAGTGAATCACATCACCTGAGATCACTACACTACAGTGAATCACATCACCTGAGATCACTACACTACAGTGAATCACATCACCTGAGATCACTACACTACAGTGAATCACATCACCTGAGATCACTACACTACAGTGAATCACATCACCTGAGACCACTACACTACAGTGAATCATCATCACCTGAGATCACTACACTACAGTGAATCACATCACCTGAGATCACTACACTACAGTGAATCACATCACCTGAGATCACTACACTACAGTGAATCACATCACCTGAGATCACTACACTACAGTGAATCACATCACCTGAGATCACTACACTACAGTGAATCACATCACCTGAGATCACTACACTACAGTGAATCACATCACCTGAGATCACTACACTACAGTGAATCACATCACCTGAGACCACTACACTACAGTGAATCACATCACCTGAGACCACTACACTACAGTGAATCACATCACCTGAGATCACTACACTACAGTGAATCACATCACCTGAGATCACTACACTACAGTGAATCACATCACCTGAGATCACTACACTACAGTGAATCACATCACCTGAGACCACTACACTACAGTGAATCACATCACCTGAGACCACTACACCACCTGTGAATCACATGAACCTGATCACCTGAGACCACTACACCACAGTGAATCACATCACCTGAGATCACTACACTACAGTGAATCACATCACCTGAGATCACTACACCACAGTGAATCACATCACCTGAGACCACTACACCACAGTGAATCACATCACCTGAGACCACTACACCACAGTGAATCACATCACCTGAGACCACTACACCACAGTGAATCACATCACCTGAGACCACTACACTACAGTGAATCACATCACCTGAGATCACTACACTACAGTGAATCACATCACCTGAGATCACTACACTACAGTGAATCACATCACCTGAGACCACTACACCACAGTGAATCACATCACCTGAGACCACTACACCACAGTGAATCACATCACCTGAGACCACTACACCACAGTGAATCACATCACCTGAGACCACTACACCACAGTGAATCACATCACCTGAGACCACTACACCACAGTGAATCCATCATCACCTGAGACCACTACACCACAGTGAATCACCTGACATCACCTGAATCACACCTGGACACTCACACCTGAGACCACTACACTACAGTGAATCACATCACCTGAGACCACTACACCACAGTGAATCACATCACCTGAGACCACTACACCACAGTGAATCACATCATACACCATGGTGAATCACATCACCTGAGACCACTACACCACAGTGAATCACATCACCTGAAACCACTACACTACAGTGAATCACATCACCTGACACCACTACACCACAGTGAATCACATCACCTGAGACCACTACACTACAGTGAATCACATCACCTGGGACCACTAAACCACTGTGAATCACATCACCTGACACCACTACACAACAGTGGATCACATCACCTGAGACTACTACACTACAGTGAATGACATCACCTGATGCCACTACACCACAGTGAATCACATCACCTGAGACCACTACACCACAGTGAATGACATCACCTGATGCCACTACACCACAGTGAATCACATCACCTGAGACCACTACACCACAGTGAATGACATCACTTGAGAC